TTAAACGTAACATTTCATACATGATTTATGCAGGGAATTTGATACTTTGTATGGCAAACGAAGACGTTGGGGGGCATTTTGTTTAATTCATCACATTGACTTGGTAATCAATATCTAATTATGGCGTATTTCTGGTGGAGGAATAACAATGAATAAATAATGGCAGGTGCTGGTACTTGGAATGATGGACTGCTGTGGGTAGCATAACCTCATAATTACATACAAGTCAGTATTTCCGTGTCAGGAAAATACTTTGTGGTTGGAAATGGAGAGGACTCAGCCAAATGGGAGGAATCCGGATCATTGTGCCCCCTTATCTCTTCACTTGATCTTTCTGTCCCTTTGCTATCGACTCCATGAATCATGCAATCTTTGCCAATTAACATCCAGCGGTGACTTGGCAAGAAGCCTATTTCCTTAACTATGCATGCAAAGAGAATATGAGAGCTGCTTGCAAAGAGGTTTTTAAAAAAAATATGACTATTTTATAAGGACATGTGGCCTTGCCAAGGTATTTATAGCTCTTGAACTTTTTTATATTTTGTTGTGGTATAATACAAAACTTTTTTATTAGGAGTTTATCTGTCAGTCTAATATAAGATAAGACATACGATAAAGATTGTGATGGTTTAAACTATTTGATTTTTATGTTTTTTCATACATTCTAAGATTAGATTTAGGATTCTCTTTTGCATTGTTATGCTTTGGTCTAAACCTTTCTTTTGTACTGTAAATTTTGTGGCAATGTCTTGCTTGTAGGTAAATCTCTACTAAACATGCCAGCCCAGGGATCTACAACCATAACAATGTAGAGAGCCTTTACACTCATCAAAAAAGGTAATTAAAGCTCATTTAGAGCTGTAAATGTTGCTTATAATTCATAAAATCTGTTGTCATTTGAAAACCAACAATATTTGCTAAATTTATATATTTGAAAAATTACATTTTTTTAAAACAAAAAACCCAACTAGTTCCCAGCATCTTGACAAAAAAGCTAAATAGCATTGAAAAATATTACTGTCACCTTTACTCCCTGTCGAAAAACAACTATCCCCACAGATGGGGACTGCCATCACCGTGCTTTACAGTGGAGATTCTGTGTGGAGGATGATGTGCAGTTTTAGTATTCGACACTTAAGTGTTCTGGATGTTGGCCAAAACATTAATAAACTTACTTTAAATGTTTCTACACCCCAAACTCTGAGCTGTCAGTTGTGCACATTGATCTGCATGATCCTGTTTGTTCACTCATTCTCTCTAGTAAACCTTTGAAAACACCACATAACAGCTGGCTATTACAATTAAAAGCAGATGCTAAATTTCCAAAGGCAGTTAGTTATGCTGCGTTTAATTTAGTGACATAATATTAACAGAGAATAATGGTGTCGGTCTGCAACAACCCCCACCCAAATATTGACTTTTGTAGTCATGACATGCTAAAATATGAAAAAGTTCAAAGGCTATAAATATTTCCGTAAAGCTCTGTCATGGTTTCATACTGTATCACTTTCAGTGTACAGGACTTTAGCTTTGACCTTGGTGCACCTCTACAGTCATGTTTAGCCAAGAAAAAAAAGTCATTTATTCTCAAACCGCCTCGTTAAAAGCCTATACTGTAGATTACAGTGTTTGAATCCCTTGATTTTCTTATTTTTTCTTAAAAAAAATATATATACTGAAGCCATCCTTAATAGAGAGCCTGGTAACACTGCCAAATGCAACATCTCCTGGGGTTTTAAGTCATGTAAGTTGCCTGGATGCGAGGCTCTTTGAAATGACAGATTAACAAATAAAGAGCTTAAGAAGCAGGGCACGGCTCATCACCACTCAAACTAAGGTCTTATGTCTTACAAAAGGAAAAGTGCCCTGTTTGTTTTCCCTATTATCTGTATTTGTTTCCTTTGGTCGCTATGATGAACACTTCTCAGCAAAGCTGCGTCCTTAGACTTGCCGGGATGAGGAGGAACAAAAATACATTCACAGAGGCTGAGCGCCTCGGCCAGATCCGTGAGATATATTTGATAAAGGCAGCTAATTTCATGTTTGCATTTGACTGATTTTTAACACACATCTAGGTCCCATTAATTATTTGGCTATGGAGAATATGCAGGTAAGGCGAGTTAAATGAGTGGTGACGGATTTTAATCAATGCCATACTCATAATGAAATGCAATCTAGCAGGGCCAGGATTGTTTTTAAAATATTAATTTCACTTTAATGGTCCGCATTAGGCAATTCTGCCCGGCTTAATAAACTTGAAATAGAATTGAGAAAAGTCAATAAGGAATTCAATTACCTTCAACCAACAACAACATGAAAAGAGCATTGCTCCATTTTTTCCCCAAACACACTCTCCGCCTCGGGTCCTTTCAACAACCTCAAGGACGTCATAACCTTTTCCCTCCCCTCCTGCTGCTTTTTTAATGATGCCGACATAAACTTGATATTTGTTTGAGCTGAAAACAGCTGCATCCTCTTCAGCGTCTTTTAGAAAAGAAAGGCGGTCAGCATGTTTAGATTTTACTGTTAGCATCGTTCTGCGGGGGGGCTGCTGCGGCGAGACAGCTAGTCATGAGAAATCCTAATTCTCCCCCCAGGGGGCCAATCTTCCGGATGAGAAGTGAAGACTTTGGGTTTGTGTCCAATCTACATCACCCCACCCTTCAAGCACACACATATCACCCCAAAAGCCCCCAAAGAAACACACACTGATCAAGTTGGACACTCTTCATGTAAAGGATTTGACGACAACTGTTGGACATGGTGTGGCCTGGTATTTTGGATGACACACGAGATGTACATGTGCAAGCATGTATGTATGAAGAGCATGCAGACGCACACATACATACGCACCCACTTGTCAAACTCTAGTCCTGCCATGCACAGAAAAGAGGCCTAACTTCTACAGATGTGATGGCGGAGTCAAGCAGTGTAGGATTTTTAGACTGGAAGCGGGCTGTGTGTTCATTTCTGACTCGTCTAAAAGAATTACATTTTAAAGTAACGTTCTGGTCTTGCATGTGTCTGATTTAAAAACAAAAAACAGACTGTTTTTTGTTTCTCTGAAACAAACATGTTTTAAAAAAAACTGTCCAAATGCTCATCTTAGCTTGGATATAATGTCAAACAAGATTACTGCACACTTTAGAAAACCTGAGGTTGTTTACCTGGCAATTATTAAACCACCATAATAATTCATCAGCATTTCTGGTAAAGATGTCTAAAAAGCCTTTAAATTCATCTTTTATTAGGTTGATTTTATGGTAGTTTTGAAAAACATTTCTCCATCCTTTATCATCCTCCTTAAGTATTTCATTGCAGCATAAACATGTTTCATAATTTAGCCCTGAGGGTCCTTTTTTAATAATGCTTAATCCACTGATTGTAGATATGGGCAGGTTTAGGCTAGTGGCTATTTTCTTGTAGAAATTTCTTTACCAAAGACGATCAATGCTTTACTAGAATGCCAGGTTATCCCAACTCATCAAACTCCTCCAAGGAGATTATGTTTTCATCAGCACTGGTTTGTCTCTGGGTTTTTAAAGTGACTAAAAGCGTTATGTAATTATTTTACTGAAAAGATTATAGTGATGATCCAGAACACCATGTGGATTAGGCAATTTTTTAAAAAGATTCTGTGATTACAGGTATGAACTTTAGATGGAAGTCACTATAATATTGGGGGAAATTAGCTACTTGGCGGAGCTCTGCGCTAAGGGTGGGATTTATCATATTGTTTATCGTTATCGTGATACATTTCTAGTCATAACAGCAAATTTGATTTACTGTCTAAACAAATTACAGGTAGTGATGATAGTTAATATAACATATAATTTCTTCTTTAATTTTTTTATTGGGGCATTAGCAAATTAGAAGATTATGATCAAAGGCTGTAGTGGCCCAAACAAAAACCTTGCTTTGCCTTAGAAAAAAAACAGGTCCACCCGTCTTGGAAACGTCTTCAAACTTGGAAAGCAAAGCCAAGTGGTTTGTTTTTGATTAACTCTGATGGAATGACTATGACATGGATGACTGAGAATTTTCACAATCATATTTGTATAATGTTTGGAAAATTCAGTCAGTGTGATAAAAGATTTATTTTAAGGCTTTCTGAAGTTCTTTACTAATTATAGCAACACTTTTTGAGGAACCCAGAATGATTTGACACAGTGTTTTAGACTAAATTTACTTTAAGGTATTATCACTTTATATAACAGCCAAAAAAAGTTTTAAAATCTATTCAATTACAAGCAAAAGTTAACACAATCTAGCATCTGTTCAGAGAAATTGGACATGCATCTTAAATCAGCCAGTCCATACCAGCAAGGAATCAATTTAGTAATAAATCTGGGAATAGAGAATACTCTAAGAAGGATGGAATAAAGAAGATTAAGGAGAATTGAGCCCGGTTGTGGATGCACTTTGACTTGTTCAATACATTCATACGGTTCCCTGCATCACGCCGCCTTCCAGGCAGCGGTAACTTGAGACATGGCACCTCTTTTCTTGCTCCACCCTCCTCAGGGGCTACTGCTTGACGAAGATAATACCAGCCAAGGCGTTTGAGGCTTATATTAAAATGACCCCCCCTGACATTATACTGCCAGAGAGGTCTTGGCACTTTAATAAAGTCTAGATGCCATTTATTTATAATGCATGTGAGAGAACGGGAGAGGGGAAAAACAAATGACATTGGGCATGCAAAGCCAGGCAAGTGCTTTCTGGTAGAGTTTGAATGAGGTAAATTAATATGCCCGCATCATGACAATATAGCCTCCAGCTATGTCTTACCACCTCACGCCAACCCCCCGCCATGAGAAATGTAAGTCAATAGTTGTTGAGAAATTTTTGCAGGAAGATTTGAATCAGAAATGAACACTTGGCACCACAGTTGAGGATGTTAGATGAAGGGCGAAACAGCAAGCAAAGCAAAGCATCAAGCATTATTATACGGCTTTTGTTTAGTAAAAAAAAGTAATATTCTGATGCTGTCTACTTACTAACTGGACCAATGTTATTAGGAACACCTGCAACAGAAGAAGAGAAAAAAACAACTTAAAGGACAATATAAAATTGACTTAAAGGCAGTATTAGAAATATATTTCCTTAACTCAAGATACAAAGCTTAAAATATTCATTAGCCTATAAATTGTACAATATGATTAACCGCTTTTACCTGAGGTGACATATAGAATATCTTCAAAAGTTTAGAATCTGTCTGATAAGCTTATGTTCTCCTCGCCCAACCTGAAAAATGTATTCTGCACCAGCTCTCACCAATCCCAGTCTGGCTGAAAAAGAAATGTTTTACCGGCTGCTGGTGTGTTTCTGAAATGAAATACAAGTTTTGCAAACTCACTCAACACTTTCTGGAAGCTTCTAATGCTTAGATTACAGCTGCAACATCCAGAGACTGTTTTCTTTTAAAAAAAGGGGTAAAGCTCAGTCAGATTGAAAGGAGAACGATGTGGTAACTCATTTTTAAGCCTTGCCATAGATTCAAATCTGGTGTGACTCTGAACTGGGACATTTTAAATGGTCTACAGTGGTGGTTCCTAAACTTTTCTTGCTGCTGTGTGTTTAGGCTCAGTGTTATGTGGATTTCTAGCTTTTTGCCGTTTCTAGAAAACTCTATCCATCTTCACATGAAAACTAAACCTGCTTTCATAAATCTCTTTATAAAATCACCCCCACAGCATGATGCTGTCACCACCATGTTTCACCTACTAGAAAAGTTTCAGAGTGATTTGTAAATGTAAATCCCTTTATTGTCCCACAATGGAGAAATTCACTCTCTGCATTTAACCCATCCCCTTGGGGAGCAGAGGGCTGTCATTGCGTGGCGCTCGGGGAGCAGTATGGGGTTAAGGGTTTTGCGCAGTGACCCAGAGTGGAGGCTGTGGGGCTCAGCCGGGTACTCGCAACCTTCTCAGAGCGCAAGCCACAGCTCTAACCCACTAGGCCAACACTCCCCCTAATTTGCAATTTCTTTTTATTTGTTTCCATAGGGACTCTTCAGGACATTGCATATTTTCAGAATACTCTGTGTAAAAATTGGCCACCTTTTCAAGATAATTATGTGCACACATTTTTAATTAAGTGTTTTCGGGTAAGTTAGAATGAATAGATATTTATATTCTACTGACAGGGGACTGACTATATATTTATATAGATATAATATTTTTATTTCACTTAACCACTTATGCATTACAGTGTGTGGAAATAACGAAAAATCTAAATGAAAAATTTTGGAAGTTTGCAGTTACATCGTAATCAGATGTAATTTAGTTCAAACGGGTATTAAAAGATTTAAAGGCCCAGTATCATATAGTGTCATAAATACCAAAGTCAAGCTTTTACATGAAAAAAAGGACATGTCTTGTCCAGTTGCCTGCCTTTCCATCCCTCCTTTGAGCAATCCCTTGAGCCAGCCAGCTACTGAGCAGATAATGCAGTCTTTCTCATCCCCATGGTGACCAGACCTCTCCCATAACAGAACCTTGGCTGGATATAGATCTAAGGAGACTGAAGACATTCACGCATTTGCAACTCCAATCATTTCACGAATCTGAATCAACTGCTGACTTCTTGATTTGCTCTTTTTTAATTAGCACTGTAAACACACTTGTTCACAGTTGCTGTGGCATGAATTTTAATCACAGGCATTGACCATTCTCTCCCTTTAAATTTTACAAAGGCTTGTAAACATGCTGGCTGTGCATATTCCGTTTTTGGTCAGCCCTGGTCTACAGGGGAATTTGCAGTCAGGACATCAACACCTGCTAGAGTTTTTGTAATCATCCGCTTTGGAAAGAAGCCCTGCCTAACATTCGCCATGCTGTCCCTTCCCTCCTTCCCTCAATGAGGCAGCATGCCCACCAAAAACAAACAACCTTCCCTCTGTGGGTAGGAAGGCATGCTGGGTAACTGGAAACATGCTTGGATGTTTCTTTTGAGGTGGAGAAGATGAGATGAAACACAAAGAGAAACCCCTCTACTCTGCAACTCGGATCTCCCATTTCATCCTTGTGCCATTGCAACTAATGCAGCGGAGGCATGTGTGTGCGATTTTTAGAGTGGCCTGTTTTCATGTGATGAAGCCATCACCAAATATCTCCAAGTTCTCGAGGGGGAACCACAGGGATTTCATGAGTGTGCCCATGTGTTTGCGTACGTGGACTTTGATCCGGCTGCTGTCATTCAGCCTTTCTTCCTTTGATCTGTGCCTGCCAGTTATGTTTAGGTGCCAAATATGTGAACTGTCTGAGAGCTGTGAAGTGCAGGTGGCCACGCTGACATACGGATCTCAAACCCTCAAGGGGGTGGGCAGATGCTCAGCCGGGGAAAGGAAGGACAGGACAAGGATAATCGCAATCATGTGCTGTGACACACCGGAATAACAGGACAGTGTCAGTGGAGAGGAGTAACAACCCTGTTTTCAAACAATATCAGTAAATTGTCGTTTTGGAACAGCTCTGGACAATTTCATCTTATTTAAAAGTGCAGCCTTGAAAAATAGTAAAAAAAATAAAATTAATAAAAATTAATAAATATATAATAACAGTAATATAAACATATGACTGTAAATTTACAGTTCTAACGTTTTTGTTTTTGTTTTTTTTTTTAGATATAATGATAATATCATAAAATACAATATTATACATATAATACAATATTTTTCAGGAAATCAGTTCCACAAATTTAATTAAAGTTATTTATTGTTCGAACTTTTTCTTTTATAGCATCATATATTACATACAGTATTTTAAATTCCTAACAATTTAATCAACAATACATATAATTTCTGAGCTCACCTCTTGCTTAAAAAATACATGTTTCAGTATAAATATTGGTATATTTTAGATTACAATAGTAGCCATTCAAAATTTGCCCACTTTCCTTGATGGACCCTTGGCTGGTCCCCTACAATTCCTTTTTAAACATCAATCTTTGTACTAAAATATTATTTTTATTATAAGTTGTGGACATTAAGATCTAAAGAGAAGCATCATCTCCTGGTCAGACCCTGTAATTCAGTGAAAGGGTGCAGTCAGAGTAAAATATTATGCAAGAGGGGGTCACTCCAGTGGCTGGAAGTTGGAGGGAATTGGGTTGCCATTCGGCTGGCATTTGACTGGGTAGGGTCATTTTGAATGGCTGCTGCTGAATAAGTATTTGATATTTATCTCCAACCTGCATGATGCAAACAAAGCCTCTCTTTAGGAATTTCATGTGACCGATTCAAACAAATGCATGAAAAATAATTGTAGACTTTGCATTAAATACCTAAATACAACATCTAATTTGCATTCGATGTTGTGTCAGGGACATACGCAATACCCACCTCTTTAGGCAATGCTAATGCTTTGAGTTTGAACATTTGAAGGACATATAAACTCTGGTTTGCCCATACCAATAGCTAATAATTTGCAGAGGAAATGTAAAATAATAAAGAGTATCTATTATATTAAATCTTAATTGAAGATCCAAGTTTGTTTGCTTTAACATAACACATTTATTTTATACAGCAGACATGCAGCATGGTATCACAGTTGGTAGCAGAGCCCTGATATTGAATTCTGACCTGAAGTTGTTCTTAATGGAGTCTGCATGTTCTCCCAGTACACTGAATTGTTCTCTCAGTGTATATGGGCTTTCCTCCAGTCAAAAAACATGGCTGTTAGATTACTCTGATTGTTCTGCATGTGTGTGCATGATTGTTTGTCATGTGTGTGTTGGACCTTCCCAACTTGCAGGGGAGATATCACATATTTCCATGCTTACTTTAATTACTTAGCATTTCAGGTCTTTTTAAAATCTGATTATCTTTTATCTTTGTCTACATTCTGGTAACCATTATTTTTGCCATGACACTTCATTAAACCAAATAAATAAATATGAAAGAGAAACATTCTGTAGCAGTACTTAGACGGGTCTTGTTAAGCATCTGATGAAGCAATAACACATGTAGCTATCTATATCTAGTTTGGAAGGCTAGCGGGGGACTGACTACATTAAGTAGAGGAGCATACAGCAGAAGACAAAAAAATAAAAACAAGACCCTCTCTGGTTATTGTACTGCACACTTTCATTAGTGTGCAATAACAAACACATTAGGTTCACAGTTTGAGCAGAGATGTTCCCCATAACAGTGTTTCTGCAGAGAAAGATTCATAATTTGCTGCTTTTCTAACAGCTGAACAAAAATACAGCTTACTGTTAAAAAATGCACAATGTAGTCCCAAACATTACTGCAGTATACAGATAAGGATGACTTAATGCTTTAACATGTATGTTGCACAGTTCACAGAAGTGCTAACCTGTTACTTGATGTAATTAAGTGTGTTGTCACACTTTTCCTATATTCTCCATGAACATTTAGCATAAATCATCTGCTTTACAAACAGGTGTTGGTCAAATTGTCTTTTCATCTGTCAGGTTGTCGCTGAGTGAAGTTTAACCTTTCCTTCCAGGTCACACTCTGGAGCACCAGTGGCCTGTCAGTGCAATTATCCACTGCTTTATGAACAACCTGCGGGGCACGAGCGCATTCATGGATCCCATGTCGGGGTCATTCGATTAATTTTCAATCACCGTCAATTTCAATCCTCTTCACCTGCCCGGCCATGCCATTATGGACCACAGCAGCAATCTAATTCCGTCCTATCGCACAGGAAGAGCATTAGGAGCTGCTTATGTTGACGGTAGGCTCCATTGATTTCTTTTTTTTTTTTTGCATGCTGACAAGAGATCATGGCGGCAAGCTGCTGTGCAGCAAACATGATCTCTGAGGGTTGTGTGATTTCTCTCATATAACATCTAACCGTGCCGGATCAGCCCATGCAGCCCATAAAGAGAGATCTGGAGAGGAAACAGTTTTTAAATACACCTAAACTCACAAACCAGAGAGATAAAAGTCCTCAGAGCCTGATGAGTATCATTTAACAACTCAGCTCCAGAACGTACTAAAACATGGTTGTTAACGTTACAGTGAGTAATCCCCTACTTACTCTCCTTGAATGTTTTC